ACCCAAGGACCCATGGAGCAACCCCAACAATCATCCCTCTTTAACCATTTTCATCTACTTAATACTCTCCAGTATTTTTTTATTTGTTCTACTTAGTTATATGTGACAGTAGAATGCATTTTGATATGTCATACATAAATGAAGTGTAACTTCTGATTCTTCTGGTTGTACATGATGTAGAATCTCACCAGTCATGTAATCATATATGAAAACAGGGTAATAATATCTGATTCATTCTACTATCCTCCCTACTCCCAACCCCCCCTCCCCTCCCTTCACACTCTTCTGCCTAATGCAAATTACCTGTATTTTTCCCTAGCCACCACCTATCCTAATTGTGAATTAGCATCTGCATATCAGAGAAAATATTCGGCCTTTGTTTTTTGGTGATTGGCTTATTTCTCTTAGCATGATATTTTCCAGTTCCATCCATTTATAAGCAAATGCCATAATTTCATTCTTATTTAAGGCTGAGTAATATTCCCTTGTGTATATATACACCACATTTTCTTTATCCATTGAAGGGCATCTAGGTTGGTTCCATAGTTTGGCTATTGTGAATTGAGCTGCTATAAATATTGAGGTGACTGAGTCACTGTAGAATGCTGATTTTTAAGTCCTTTGGGTATAAACCAAGGAGTGGGATAGCTGGGTCAAATGGTGGTTCCATTCCAAGTTTTCTGAAGAATCACCATACTGCTTTTCTAATTACTTGCACCAGTTTTCAGTCCCACCAACAGTGTATGAGTGTCCCTTTCCCCTGACATCCTTGCCAACATTTATTGCTCCTTATATTCTCCCAGACWTTGGAGTTCCTTTATTAACATGATCCTTATGCTGTCCATATTCTTAGCACATTGAGGTCTTAGAAATTTATTAAGTTTTTAACAAGCCTCAAATTGCATATTTCTTTGCTTTTGATTTTATAAATCAATTCTTGTAAAAGTGCTATGGATTTGCATGTAGTAATAAGTAATCAAAAAGATCCCATGTACCTTTTGCCTAGTTTTCCCCAGTGATAACTTCTTATAAGACTGTGGTGTAATAACACGTCTAAGATATTGACATTTATATGGTAGACATGCTCTTAATTGGGTCTCCACAGTTTTCCTTGTACTTGTGTGTGTACTTATATCTATATAATTTTACTACAAGTGTATTCAGTTCCATCACAAGTATTTCTCATTTTGCCCTTTTGTAACCAGACACACCTTACTCTACCCCCTTGACACCAATCTACTCTCTGTTCTTTGTTTAGAAAATTTCTCAGTTCAAAAATGTTTTATAAGTGGATCCAAATTATATTTAACCTTTTGGGATTGATTTTTATTGCTTATCATAATTCCCTGGAGATTTGTGCAGGTTTGTGTGTGTGTGTGTGTCAATGGTTTGCTCCTTTTTATTGCTAAATAGTATGATATAGATGTACCATAGTTTGTTTAACCATTGACCTGTTGATGGATATCTGAACTGTTTCAAGTTTTTGGCTCTTCTGAAAAAAAAATATGAACAGTTAAATACAGGTTTTTCAGTTTTCTGGGAAAAATGCCCAAGAGTGCAAGTGATAGGTTGTTATGGTAATTATGTTTAGAGTTTCAAAAAACTATGATTTTCCAGAGAGGTTATGCTGTATTATGTTCCATCCAACAGTATATGTATGATATAGCATCTTCATAAATATTTGATGGTATCATTTTTTTTAAATTAAGCCATTCTGATTGAAAAGAGAATAAACCATAGATACACCCCTAAACTATGATAATGGTAATATTTAAAATCCATGGGGAAAAGATAGACTATTGGAAAGCATCTGGGAAAAAATCTACTTTGTACTATATAMAAAAAACAAAATTCAGATGGATTAATAATGTCAATGTTAATTTAACTTGTATATAATAAAGGAATTTAACATTTTTATAATTATTAAGAGTAAGATGGGACACAGCAGCCTGCTTTCTATTGAAGGCATGTAACTCAGAAGGTGTAAATAGAAAATACATAGATTTGACTACATAAACATTTTAAAAACTTTATGATAAAATTATAATAAACCAAGTTGGAAGAAAACCGGTGCAGTCATATGTACTTATGTTYAATAATAACTTATTTTTGATACATGAAGTGATTATATAATTAAACAAGCAAAAACGTAAACAAACTAAATATAAAAAAAGGTAGGCAGTGGATAAGAATAAGCAAATCATGGAAGATACAAATAATCAATAATTGTAGAACTAGATGTTCACCTTCACTGGTAATCAAAAAATTAGAAATTAAAACAAAAGCTTGACATTTTAAAATTCATTAAGTAGACAAAAATTGAAAACATAATATTCAGTATTATTTTTTGGTTTTTTGATATTTAGAATTTTTTATTAGTACATTCTAATGATACATAATAGTGGAATTCATTGTGCTATATTACTATTCAGTATTAATTGCATAGGGAAAAAGGACATTCTCAGACATATTTTTTAATAGTATAAATTAACACAGTCATTTTCCAAGGGCAGATTGGCAGTATGTCTTGARATTTAAAATACACGTACTCTTTGATACAATGATTTTGCCTGTGGGAGCACGTGCCATAGAAAAATAGAGGTGTATAAGGGTATATGAGCTAGGATATTCATTGCAGCATTATTTGTAATAGGAGAAAACTKTATAGTCAACATAAAATATCTAACAATATGGATATGTGAAATAAACAAGAATAATCATGACATAGTCATACAATAGAATATAGTAAAGGAATCAGTCTACAGCACTGACATGACAGCAGGTAGCAGAATGGCCATATAGTATGGTTTGACTGGAGAGTGCAGGGTGGAGGAGGTGTGTATGTGTGCATATGTGTTTGTGTGCCCCAAACTAAAAATGTCTAAAAAAATGTACACTAGCTTATTAGAAATGATTACAAATTTGAGGTAGAGAAGTGCTAGGATGAAGAGAATTTCACTTTTTATTTTTTATATTTGTGCAGTGCAGTGTTTGAAATTATTATTATTATTATTATTATTATTATTATTATTATTATTATTACTATGTGTATTAGTGAGCTTTCCATTGCTGTGACAAAATGCCTGAGAAAAGCAACTTGTAAGAAGGAAAGATTTATTCTGGCTTATAGTTACAGATGTTTCTGTCCATGTTTCCTTGACTTTGGGCTTGTGGCAACGCAGAATATCATGTCAAGGAGTATGTGGCAGAGGAAAATGCTCAAGTCATAGTGATTGGGGAGTGGAGTGGTGGTTGTGGGAAGGGACAGGCTGGGGTCCTAATATCCCATTAAGAGGCATTTCTACATTGACATAACTTTCTTCCACTAGATCCCACCACCTAAGGTTTCTGCCATCTCACAACAGAGCTACATACAGGCTMGTGACCAAGCCTTAATAAGACATTCAAGATCCAAAACAAAACACCAGGATATAATTTTATATAAAAAAWTGTGCTGTATATGTGTAATAAGAATTGTAATGCATTCCACTGTCATTTTTTTAAATCAATAAAAAAAAGAAAAAGAAAAGAAGTTATAAGTGCTAAATAACCCAGTTATTGAACAAAAAGAATCTGGATTAAAAKAATTGTTGTAAAGATCTAGATACTCATGCCTAATGAAAATTAAAAACAAACAACAAACAAAAGCTTCTTTCTTGACACTATTAATTTTCTGTGTCTGGAATGTTTATTTTAGTGATATATCTCTGGTTATTTAAATTATTGTATTTAATTGATAGTGCTTACTGGGATTTAGTGAAAAATATTTTGTAAATATCTCCTGTTGTGATTTATCYATAGTAATATCTCCTCAATGAACTGACTGTGAGCAGGGAATTAGTAAAGGAGACACAGATCTGGAAAGCAGTCCTGGTTCTACTTATCTCTACAGGCAGCCTTATTTTATATTGATAAAGTTTGAAATCTTTCCTATTGTTCGTTGTTGCTGTTATTGCTTTAATGAGAAGCAGAAACAAGCCAAACTCACCTGTTTCATTCCTTCAACTAAAGTAATTTCAAAGGAAATTCTTTAGCCCATATAAATAAGTGCCTGTGGATGGAATCAGACTCTAATTCAAAGAGTCCAATTAATTTCTTCTAAAYCTTAAGATCCTTTTGTTGTTGTTGTTGTTGTTTTGAGATGGAGTCTGGTTATGTTGCCCAGGCTGGTCTAAAACTCCTGGGCTCAATTGATCCCTCTGCCTCAGGCTTCAGAGAACCCAGAACTATTGGCACCAGCTGGCCTGGCTCAAGATACATTCACAAGAAACCAGCATGCATTAAAAAAAAAAAAAAAAAAATCAACCAATAAGAATAATTAAATGCGAAGTGAAATGACTATCTTACTTATAAAACCCTGCTTAACTTGACATTAATGTTTGCCATCTACTCTATTATAAATCAAGATTTGTTGTGGAACTATACCAAAGATAGCACAATAATGAAGAAAACAGAATCATCAGGATTTCAAATATACCTAACAAACTCAACCTCTTGCAAAATAACTTTCTTATTCAAAATGGAACTGGGRATTGTTCAGCACACAATGAATCATCTTTTGGCAAGTACAATAGAATCTTTAGGGACATTTCACAGCCTCTCATTCAATTGTTAGGATGTTTTTAACTTTCACAGGTAGGGAAGAAGGTAGCTTGTATAGCCCTCATCTTGTTGCTAAAATTGTACAGTAAAGATTTTTAGAGTTGCTGTTGCAAAAGATCTTTTTTCCCCTTCCTGTTTCTTTACCCAGAGCTGCTTTGTCTACCCAAAACAATCTGGAATTACTTACTGCTAATGTTTTCTGGTTTTACTATTTATCCAGGACTCAAATGTTAAACATTAATATGGGTAACTCCCTTTTCCTTACCTCATAGTCCTACATTTATTTAACTGTTATTTTGCAAGAAGGAAATTTCATCTTACCCTTTCCATGTAAGTACTGGTTTTTTTTTTTTTTTTTTCTGACCAACGTGTTTTGTTTTCTTTTTGCTTTTTTTCAGGAGGTTTTAGAGGTACCCTTGGATGATGCTGAAGTGACGGAGACTGCAGCAGCATCTGAAGTGATTAAATATGAATATCATGTCTTATATTCCAGTAGCTACCAAGTGCCTGTACTTTACTTTAGGGCAAGCTTCTTAGGTAAGACCATTTCTGAAGCTAAAAGTAAATTCATAACATTTACATATAAGGCAGAATGCATATTTGGAAAATCATTCTTGAGAGGAAAAAAAAATAGAGTTAAAAATAAGAAAACTGTGGGTGAGGTAAGGTTTTACCAGTAAATTTTCTCATGCTTCAGAAAGAGAATCAAGACTTCAGAGTGAATGATATCATCCCAGCCTTAAGTCTGATCTTCAGAATCTTGGCCTTCTGCCTGAAGTTGACTAAGCCCCCTGGCCCTTTTTCTTTACTTTAAACAAGTAGGAACAACTTAAAGCTACAAGGTTTATTTACTTCTAACTTTACAGTAAGATTTTCTTTTAATCTCAAGTGATCCCATTAACTCAAAAGCCCCTATGCCTCCTTCCCCCAAAGCTAGTGATTATTTCGAGAAATGTTTATCAATTAGCTTAAGCCGTATTTAAAAATAGAATGAACATTTCCTTTGGCCATCTATACATCTCCAATGCCTTAGCTTCCTGTGATGCTGTTATTCAACTTGTTCCCCTGCCAAGAAGGTGGAACACCCTGTCTCCTTGGGGGCCTTTGCTAATAAAGCTTACTTAATCAGCAGCCACATGGAGTCCTTACCCTGCAGTGCAGCTGAGACTCCATCTCAATGTCCACTGCCTGAACCAGGTCAGCATTGGGACATCCTGCCATGTGGTTTAGGGGACCACACAAAGCTCCCTGTCCAGCCCACCCCCTACCCTATGACTCCTTTTATGTATGGACTTATCAGAAGCACTTTGCATTTTGAACAGCCTTCTAACTTTTTCTGGGTAGCTAAGACATCTGAATTTAGCCAATGATATTTTATTTTTAATTAAAAAGTAGCTTAAGCTGCTTTGAATGTGTATTTGGTAGATTTAATCACTTGCTGCCTTATATTGTTTAATGGTCTCTAATTTTGCAGTGCTGGCGGTTTAACAAGCACTTAGGATTTAAAACACAAGAACAAATTCTTATAGACTCCCTGGTGAGAAGATTTTAATCTGAGGTGCAGTTCCTAAGAACTGACAATTTGGGGTAAATTTTCAACATGGGACATAGGAAATTGAGGACACTGATAGTTTACTAATTCACAAACTCTTCCTGCAGATTTATCTGTATGATTGTTACCAGCTTTTAAAACACTGACTTTATTGTCATTATATTGGGTTTGGAGCCCAGGGGTTAAATGGAGATTTCTTGTCAGTTAACTGTGCTTTACCAAAATCAGAAGTTATATTTATTACTTGGGTGGGAGTGGAGGGGAATGTCTTTCTTGGATCTGGTTTGCAGTGGCTCTGCCTTGTACCTTCTAGATTGAAAGACAAGTCGAGGCTGCAGGTAGAGGAAATAGGGCACTAATTCTTCAATACTGTACTTTCATATAATTAGTATTCACCATAAGCAGTTAATCACCAGAGAAGAGCTCCCAGAGACAAAACAAGTTGTTTAGCTTGTCAGCATTAGGGAATCGGAGGTGTTGAAACATGACTGCTTCTAGCTGGAAGTGGGTCTTGCCGAGGCTGGTGGATGAGCTCATACGTGTGCTTTGCTCTTATGTGCCAACAGCTCCCCTTACAGTACAGCACAGTAATTGTTCCTGTAAGTCCAATTATATTTTAATGACATTAGTATATTTCCTCAAATCTTTTCTTCATTATGATTTTCTGTTCCTTAAAAACATACAAGCATGCACAAGTAGTTGTCTTGGATTTTGTTTATATACTTTTAAGATGCCCTTCATTTATGCCTAATAAGAGAAAACCAAAACAAGCCACATATTTTGTGTGGATACATTTCTCCCACCTCTAATTCTGTGTTGAACAGAATGGGTAGTAAGAATTTTAAATTTTATTTCAGTCCAGAAGGCATTCAGTACTTACTTGCTTAGATACATTAAAATATCAAATTTAATTTTTACAAGGCATAATGTAGACAAGCATGAGTATGGTTCTTTTCTTTATCAAATTCTAATAATTTCTTTTTTATTTTCCTCCTAACTTAAACTCATGGGTATCCTACAAAGGTATAACCCTTTGCTCTGGAGTTGTAATTTTTCATTTATTCTCCCCAGTCCATTTCCTTTTTCTTTGATATCTGATTACCCTAGCTCCTCATTTGTTTGTCAAACAAATCTCTGACAGTGTAGTGAATGGATTCCTGATGTCTTCCTCTTATTCCAGGTCCAGATTTTTCTTTGTCTCATTCTAAGAGAGTTCCGACCTAGAAAAGGGATGATTGTAAAATTTCTCGCCCAGGGGTCTTTTTTGTCGTCGTTGTTGTTGTTGCTTCAAAAATAGTTCACTTAGCCTTGTTTTTGATGCTTAGAATTTTGTTTGCCTTTGATTGTTAGTAAAAATTAATTTATCTTTGCTCTGAATTTTCTTCCGGTATCTTTTCTTTTAATAGGAGAAGCAAACCAAGTAGTAAGTAGTTTCCATTTAAATTTGCATTACCCTTTCTTTTATTTGTTTTTTTTTTTTGTTTTTTTTTTTTTAGTGCTGGGGATTGAACCCAGGGCTCTGTGCATAAAAGGCAAGCACTCTACCAACTGAGCTGTATCCCCAGCCCTACCCTTTCCTTTATCAACTGSCTTAGATTTCAGAAGAAATCTTTATTCTACTTCTTGAAATGTAAATTTATTGAAATATGAGTTCTTCTTATTCCTATATATGATCCAGTATCTACCAGGCCAGTTAGTGCCCAAGACTCAGCTAACATGCCACCTACCCTTGTCCCTCCCATGTCTTGGCATATCATCTCATACTGTATATTTTACCATATGGCAAGTTGCACTATAATTGAACTATTTATTTATTTATTTATTTGAACCCTATATGGTGAGTTAGAAGGTGAGATTTAAGGAAAAAGAGTAATGAAGGAAATTGATACTGAGTACCAACAAAACTAGAAGCTGTGTTTATGGCTAGTTAAATACTTAGATAACACTTTATAAGCACTTAACCATTTTGATACCTGCAATATCAAATATGGCATAGCATCAACAAATATTTATTGAATTAACCAATAATGAAGAATTTCTAAACATTTCTGAATATAGCCAAAAACTAAAATGTTGTGATGGTGCCTTCTTCAGCTGCTATGATGGGTTCTAAGAAGGAAGGAATGCTATTGTCCCAGGAGACCCAGGACCCAAACCTTCTATATATCTTTACTGTTTAGTTTGATACTTCTCAAATACTATACCAGTAGTGGACTAAGAAAAATGGAACATCTTAAGGGCTCAAAAGTGAATATCCAAACCAGCTGAGAAGCCATTCTGCTACTTCTTTTTTTTTAATTAAATTACTTATTTATTCTAGCCATTCTGCTTCTATAAATACATATTTTCATTTGATCCTTGAAGACATACAGCCAAATTCAAATGGCATTCTTCTACATGCCTCTCATTTCTACTACTTGGGCCCATAGGAGCTCAGTTCCCAAGGCAATAGCATACATTTAAGGGAAGATAGAAGCCTTTACCAGTGTTGTGTTCTTCTCTAACAATTTTTGTCATTGTAGTTTTGGAAGAAATGGTGGAACACAGTTAACTTATTTTTCCATTCAGCAATGAGTGATAAGTAAGTGCTCTTCTGTTTTTTGTTTTAGGTCTGAGGATTGAACCCAGAGGTGATCTACCACTGAGCTATATCCCCAGTCCTTTATATTTGTTATTTTGAGACAAGGTCTCACTAAGTTGCTTAGGGCCTAGTTAAGTTTCTGAGGCTGGCCTCAAAAGTGCAATCCTTCTGCCTTAGCCTCCTGAGTTGCTGGGATAACAGGTGTATACGGCAGCACTCAGGTCTTTTTGAAACACAATGTATTAAGGAATTATTAGTACTATGCCAAAGCCTCCTATCTACTCCCCATCATTCTTATCATTCCTTGGCCTTTTAAATTCCATTTTGCCTTTSGGGCTTGGATTCTATCAAAAGTTTATGGCAGGAGCTAGAGCTGTAGCTCAGTGGTAGAGCACTTGCCTAGCAAGTATGAGGCATTGGATTCAATCCCCAGCACCACATAAAAATAAAATAAAGGTGTTGTGCCCATCTACAACTTAAAAAAAAAAAACAGTAGAAGGGTAGTAAAAAAAATCTTAGGCATATACATAATGGCTTRACAAGAGTCCTGGGCTTAAATATTTTTCCTTTACAATATAATGAGAGAATTCTAAATTTATTTCCATTTCAATTCTGTTTTATTTCTTCCCTGTCTCTTTTCCTTTGTTCTCAATCTCTATTGAGAAATGGACCAAGTAGTTCTTCTCATTTTCAAAATATTTAATTCTTTGGCTGACATATGGGTTCTTCTGGGGAGCTGTTTTGACACATTCTTTAATTAGTCAGAAAGGCTGCTTGTGAATAGAGAAGGAAACACTTCTTACATTCAGCAACTGAATGTCTGTTTACTGTAGGCCCAGAAAGTCAGAGTATAGAATTAAAAAATCTTACCTGGTATTTCATGTGAAAGACCTGTTTGCTTGTTTTAGGGTGCTCAAGGAGAAATAGGGTGAAAGAAATAGCCACAGAATAAATCCTTCTTAAAGGCAGTATGAACCAAACCAATTTAAAGGAAAGAGGATAGAGAATAATGGAAAGTTTGGAATTTAAATGGTGTAGAAGTCATCAAGTAGGAGGAAAAGAGTTGTTCATTCTTTGGAACATGAAATGCATAGAAAATGATAGGAAGAAAGGTGGGGGTTGGGAGAAGTTGAAGAATAAAAATAAAGCATCAGTAGCTCTGTCCAACAACATTAGAGTGCTGGTTAGCTTTGCTGGAGAGGACGGGAAAGCATTGTAGAAGGGGAGCAGGGTGACTGCTGAATTGTTGGACCTAGAGAGACCATGACATATTCTGGGCACAGTGAGAGAGCTGTTTGGATTAGGAGTTCCCTCAAGATGAATTGTAAAAGAAATGGTTGAAAACGTGTACAGGTCAAATTATATTGAAGGGTTGGAGGATCTGAAAAAAATGTGAAAAATAAT